GTGACGAAGCTCGAGAAAGCATGGGATCAAATGGGTACTGCGGGTTGAAATATCTCTCTTATTCACCCCGGTACCCCATTGTTTTTTGTCGCCATCACATTGAACACATCATTCCCCATATCTTCAAATTTTTTCAAATTTTTCTTGAGTTCCTAGGGGGTTGAAACGTTCAATTTAATCAAAACTCCATAAGAGGCCGTGTATAAGACTGATTTTGTTTATTTAATTTATCGATATCCATAAGTTCTAAAATTTTAAAATTGTCACCGATGTTCACCATCTGACTAATACTATTAATTAAAAAAATTATAACTTTGTTGGTGAATGTCAATTTTCAAGGTCATCGCCAAATTCACTTGGCACCCTTAATCGCTTAATTTTCTAAAAATTGACCACTGGGAAGGTGACATGGTCGCCAAACTTCGTATTTTTACGTTTCAGACAATTCCACGTAAAATGTAAAAATTGGAGCATTACAATGCTTCCATTCGGAATCAAAAACTCAGAGCAGACCCAGTCCCACTGAAGGAGCTCCACGTACTTAGCATAATCTCACCAAGGGTAGTTTTTCAACACTAAGAACCTTCTCACACCCCTGAGTGGTATCTGTACATAGTATTTAGCATTTTTGCATCTTTTCTTTTTACGTATCACCTGTGAGTCACCTAGGTGAAGTTGCACTGGTTTTGGTACTCATATGGTATTCCCTGCGCAGGGTGAAAAAGAAAGAAATGGGGTTTCGAAATTATCCTAAATACTCTTAAGCGTTTTAAGGGATTATGCCCGTAGATGCGTGAAAAATCCCAAAAGGGTACTGCTTCTTCATTTTTTATGCTTGCAGTCTAGTTTCGAGGAGACCACCCGCTGGGTAAACAGCACTTTTTACAACCATTTCTCAGCGATTTTTTTTTTTTCGCCGCGCTCTCGGGGATGGTAACGACTTTTTTCGAGGTTTCATTCGCCTTGCGAATGGAGATGAATTTAATTAAAGGAAAGGGCTGGGATTGACAGCGATGTTATTCATTTGCCTCTTACCAAGATTACGAAATTTAATGATTTTAATGATTTTGTGAATTTAATTTTTTTTTTTTTTGACAGAGACTGTTGTTGATCCATTGTCAATGGAGCATTTCACACCTCCCACGGGTCAAAAAACAATTTTACGCACTCGTATCGAAATATTTAGGAGAAAAAAATCATGCCATTTCGGGTTTCACTGAAAATTCAGTAAAATTCCAGAATTTTAAGCAACATATGAATATTCAGTCCTAAATTACATTGAATTTGCAGCGAAATCTAAAATTTCAAGATTTTTTTCCCCCTAAATCGCATGCGGTGTCCCTGTCCTGAAAATTCTGGAATATATTTACCGGAATTTTCTGGTTTTCTATTCATTTTCAGGGAAATATGGAATGGAAATTTACAGTTCTCTTTGATTTTTCCGCGAAATTATGAATTTTCAATGACGAAATTCCTTGAAATATCAGGCTAAATTTTTTAACAGTGTAACACAAAAAATCCAAAACTTAAATTTGAACGATTACAGAGTTTCCATTCGGAAGCGAAAATCATGAAATATTCCTCGTATAGAAAGCGATCGGAAATTCCCGTCGTCTTGCAATGCAAGCCATCACGAAAATCATCTCATCAACACGTCAAAAAATCACGCATCCCAATCTTCCCTCATCACGCCAAAATATTCAGGCTCCATTAAGGGCCCTTGAGACCCCCAAGAGAACAGCCAGAATGATCATGCATATGATGAGTCTCATGCTTGCACGGGGTGGGGTTAAACCAGAAAATGCAAATGTCCAAAAATTTTGTAATATTGTCTTCAGTCTTGTAGTTTGGGTTCCAAGTCCCTAACCAGTGGCACAAAAATCCACCCTTCATAAACAAAAGGGAGCAAGGAGGTGGGGATGAGGAATAAGAGGAAGAAGGCAAGTATCACTCATCCTACTCTTGAAAAAAAAAAAAAAACCCGTAAATGTACATTAAAAACACTCTCGGGGTCCAGTTATATTGCGGGTAACAAACAACCCTGGAGGTGAGGATCTCGTGGTGTCTCTACCCCTTCTGTATCTCACGGTTATTTGCATAGCTCTGGATTATTCAAATCATCTCTTTATTATTATAGCTCTTTTTATTGTCCTAACGCCTTGTGTTTTTCACGATACCCTTTTTTCTCTAGGAGACGAGTCTCTCCTCTTTTTTTTTTCGAGTCTTTCTCTTTGGGGACTCGTCTTTGCTATCTTGCGAGTGTTTTATAATGAGGGGAGGGGGGTCCTCGCCTAATTGCGCATTCAAATGGGATTCTTTTATTTCAATAGCGAAATTTCTAGGACACTCATCTCGAGATCCTAATTTTCGAGTTGAAAAAACAAACCCCGGGGTAATGGGAGACTCTTTTTGTCCTTTTTGGGGCGAGGGGAGATGGGAATTTTTTGTTTCATGTTTTTGGAGACAGGGGAATGAGAGTGAAATTGTTTTCTTGGGGAGGGGATTTTTTTTTTTGAAAAATTCGAGATTTTTTTTTGTTGAGGACAATTACATTTTTAATTTTAAAATGTTTGAGAAGGTTCTTATGCCAATGCGGAAGTGGGGGATGAGAATTTTTTTTGTTTCATTTTTTAGAATCGAGCGAAATAAGGGTGAAATGGCGTTTTAAAAAATTTGATCATTTTTTTCGAAGGAAAACAATTTTTTTAGACATTTTGAGAATTTTTTTTTCATTGAAAAATGGGGAATTTCAGAAAAAAACTAGAGATCCTAATTTTTGAATTGAAAAAGCAAATCCCGGGGTAATGGGAGACTCTTTTTTGCCCTTTTTGAGGCGAGGGGAGATGGGAATGTTTTGTCTCATTCTTTTGCAATTGAAAATTGAAAAAAAAAGATTGTTTCGAAGAAAAACAGTTTTTTCGTTTCTTTCTAATAATTTACTTATTAAATCAAAGTAAAAAATTAGCTTTTATTCAATAAACAAAACAATTGAAACCCAACAATTTTTTTTCATGAAAAAAAAATCCAATTTTCCTCTCCACGAATTCAAAACAATTTTTTCAAAAGTATAAATTACTTTCCCCGAGACATCTGCCCAAAAGCCCTCGATCAAAAAAAAACTTTCGAATCAGGAACCGGAACAGGAAAGGATATCCCCGACACCTTCGAAAAAAAAATCCTCAATTTGAATATTCCCGAAAAAAATCATTGCTCCGCAAAAAAAAATGCCCAAAAAAAATTTGAGTGAGCCCCTGTAGCAGGAAGCGCACCGTTACCGGGTGAGACAAAAGGGGTGAAAGATTTTACGTCTCCGGGCATGACCATACACATCACATTGTCTCTCAAACACCACAATGGAACGAGCGCCTCGAAAAAAAATCATAAATGCAAAAAAAAACCGGAATGGGATGAAAAAAAAAATCGTAAAAAAATGCATTTGAAAAAATAATAATGGAATATATCATATCTATTCAAACGAGCATCGCCTCGAGTTCCACTAAAAAAAACTGATTTTTTGTCACCGAAAAGATGCAAAAACATTAACGAAAATGCCCCATCACTTGGTTTCATGTCTTCTTCTTTCCACTCTCTCTCTCTCTCTCTCTCTTCGACGCGTTTCCGTTTGTTTGTTTTTTCTTCTCATTGCCCTCCACGTGGTGGAGGGATGCAAAGTAGGAGACCCTTTCGCGCGCTCCACCCCCACCCCGAGAGTTTTTCACGTTAAGAGGAGGCTCATCCCGAAAAAAACGTTTCTTTTGCGGAAAAAAATTTTAAAGTACATTTTATTGCATGTTATTGTATTTTTTTCCGCAAGCGGATTCTGTACGATAAAATTGTCTCCGATCACTCAAAACTGGAGATTTGAATTTCAATTAAAAACACGAGCTTTATTTTGAAACTTACGATCTCAAATTGAGACATTCAAAAGCTTAATTTAATGGAAAATTCCAAGTTGAGTTCTGAAAGTTTTCACTTGAGGCATTTCAAAGTATCAACTTGAATGTCTCAAGTCAAGTCTTGACAAAGGCATTAGGACTTTGGGGCAGATTAAGACCTTCCAAAGTCTCAACTTGAGATTTTACTCTTAACCTGAGACTTTGGAAGGTCTTAATTTGAGACTTAAGTCTCAACCTGGGGCTTTGAAAGTCTCAAATGTCTTTGAGACTTTGGAAGGTTTTAATTTGAGACTTAAGTCTCAACGTGGGGCTTTGAAAGTCTCAAATTAAGACCTCCGGAAGTCTCAACTAACGGCATCCAAAGTCTCAAATTAAGACATTTGACAGTCTCAAGTTGAGACTTTGGAAAATTTTAAATTGAGACTCTCCAAAGTTTCAAATTGGGACTTTCCAAAGTCCTAAGTTGACACTTTCAGACAGTGACAGCACTCTCCTTAATGAAAAATTTCAAGTTGTGTTCCGAAAGTCAATTTAAGACTTTGAAAGTCTCAAATTAAGACCTTTGACAGTCAACTTGATACTCTGGAAAATCTTAAATTGAGACTCTCCAAAGTTTCAAATTGGGACTTTCCAAAGTCTTAAGTTGAGACTTTCAGACAATGACAGCAGTCTCCTTAATGAAAAATTTCAAGTTGTGTTCCGAAAGTCTCAAATTAAGACCTTTGAAAATTTTAAATTGAAACCTTGAAAAGTCTCAATTTAAGACTTTGAAAGTCCCAAATTAAGACCTTGACATGAGACCTGACAACATAAGACTTCCAAAAGGCTTAAATTGAGATCTCAAAGTCTCAATTGAGGCCTTCCAAACTGTCACTTCCAGAATTTCAGATTAAATCTCACATTAACACGTCGAAATCTTAAAATAAGATATTATTTTCTCGAGTGTTTTTGTAACCGAAAATGCAAATAAAAAAAATCCCCAAATTATAAATTTTAGGAATCGTTATTTGGATATGATTACCAACGTTCGATCTTCAATTATGAGAAATGGGGGAGAATAAGATGGAATTATTGCGACGTTATTGATTTTTTAAGTGGACTTACATCACTGGCGAGTCCGTTGTTCCAGGGATAAGGTGGTTGTGGTGGTGACTGTTGCTGATGATGAACACCACCGACATTGCCAGCTGAATGCGGATTGTGTATGTGTTCAGCCATGACACTGACCCAGTGTGCCAAACCACCGCCACCACTGCCGGGTGTTGACGAGCCAGTGACCGCTGCACCAGTGCCACCGGTACCATTTCCACCCCCGCCACCCTCGTCGCCACCCTCTGACCAGGCAAAGGATGCCTTCTGAAAATACAAATTCGAGGGATACTGATATTAATTGTTATGTTTGTTCTTCCATGAGTTGTCGATATTGAAAATAATCTTGGAGGGACAAAAAAGGTCATGACAAATATTTCACTAGCTCCCTTAACCCTCGAGTGGTCGCACCTCTCCACCAAACGTATCCGGTCGCGTGATGAGCGCTGCGCCGTTCCGTGTATTTTACCACTTTGAGAAAAAAAAAAGTTCAAAATTTATGTATTTATGATTAAACGAGTAACTTTGAACTTCCAACTAACAACTAATATCAGTATAAAACGAGAAAAGTGAAAACATTCAAAAACTGATTTCCATTTGGTGCGAAAATTTGACATTTGGAGGTTAAACACAGAGATTTTCACCGAGTCGAATTTTTAAGGAATTTTAATTGTTGATCGGTGCAAAGATGCACAGAAAAAAAATTGTTTAAATGTTTGACATGGTGGAAAGTAGGAATTCCAATTTTTTCAGATTTTTTCTCAACAACGTTTCAACGTAAAAAAAATCGAGACAGAACGGCGCTCGTGCCATGACGCGACCGATCGAGGGTTAAGAATGTACTGCACCATTTCTACAAAAATTCACGTTTTTCGAATTTTTCTGGGAAATTATTGATCTGATTGACGCGAAATAATTTCAAATAGTAACAATCCATTTTTCAAAATTTGTCGATAACCAATGGGGTAAAATGGGTTCAATTCTAGTGGATGGAATCGAAAATTTTCCTGACTGTCCGATGAGACCCCCCCCCGCCTNCCCCCCCGCCGCCTCGCCGACATATTCATGAAAAGGTGCAATCCCGCAAGGAGATTGCAGCAAATTGCCCGGAATCCTCTCAAGCGAATGATGAAATTAAATTTAATTAATTCAATCTGTTATAAGGGACTTAATTATTGTGTCATCCCTGCGGAGCTTGAATGACTCCCTCCTCACTCTGGAGGACCCCTGGAAAGGATTGTAAATGCGCAGAGCCCCTGTGTGGAGGCTGAAAGAAAGGACCTAACGAATATTCTCACGAATGAAATTGCGTCACGTGTGCGGGTAATTAGAAACATCAGAAATTATTCGACACTATTGTTTGATCAGGTCACTCAGCAGAAGCAACTGGACAAAAATGTTCAATATCAACAACAAATTCTTCCGGTTTATCCCAATTAATGATGAAAAAATGTTATTTAATTTTATTAAATTGCATTATTAAATAATTCTTTTTAAAGATTAAAATCCAATTTTATTACTGAATAATGATATTAGTAAATTAATGACTTTTTGGGTCATACTGAAATAATATACCTGAATTGAGTATAAAATATACTTGATTGAAGTATATTTTACACTCAATTCAGGTATATTTTTTTTTGTAAAAGCTTCCATTCGGAAGCAACAAAATATAAATTGAACGGAAAATACATGAACTACACTGTCGATTGTTATTTCATAATTGTGTGATTAATATTGTACATCACCTCGTCATTATCCTCCCGATGTAGCGCCAAATTTCTCGGAAAAGCCGGTACACTACTAACAGTAAGTCCCTTGATATCCTTAAGATCCTTAAGTGCCTCGAGTGCACTGAGATTGTCCTTGAAATTGGCAAAATTCTCCTTAAAATTTCTATTCAACACAGTCTTCCCCAGGACAGCACTGGCCAACAGACTCTTGTAAAGATCATTCGGCAGGAGAAATTTCTGATCCACATCGCTCCCCTCCCCAATTACCCCAAGAGTCCCGCCGTCGTCCTTGCATGAGCCAGTGTCATGGGAACTGTCACTGTCAACCTCCACCGACGAATTGCTCGTCACACTGACACTCGACATTTTCGCCATTTAAAAAAATCAATGAAAATTTTTCCTTTAAAATTTTCTCTCAATTAATCATCTATCAAGTATACACTTCCGACGGAAAATTCGTTATATCGTATCCAATAAATATATCATGTATACATAAATATTTTGAATATATTCTGCTTCATGTAGAATCACTTATCGAAATTATTTATCATTTTCGTCGAAAAAATCCCAACAAAATCACTGACTCGTATTTTTTCAAAATGATTATCGATTATTATTTGAATAATTTATCATCCCAAAGTGTTTTTCATTAATTAAGTATCATTTATCATTATTTATTTAGGAACTTTGCGCGCGCAACTCATTACGCCCCCCTTCTAATTAAACGCGGGAAACTCTTTTGAATTCACTTTCCCCACCTGACGTTTCTCGTTAATTGTGTTTATTATTTTTTATCCTATATACTAAAGTGAAAAATAGGAACTTTGGTTGTCGCCCATTGCAGGATGATTTCAGAATTTTCTGAGAAAAGTTCGTTGCATTTTCATCGGTTTTTTACGTCCGACGGTGTCACACCCCCGTGACTTTGTCGTCATTTTTTGAGACAATTTATTTGTGATTGATTATTGGGGATGATTCGGGGTGATTCCACGTGGATGTGTTGACGATTGGGGATGAGCCCGGCGGCCCTGGAGGCCGACCGAGCGCCCAGGCCTTCAGTTTCACGTTTTTTCGAGGGCCCACTAGTGCTCACAGTCGATTTTTCACGGATTTCAATCCTCAAATAGTTCAAGATCTTCGATTTTGAGGGGTGGGGAGTGATTTTTCAGCGTCCTTATTTGGTCTGCAAGGAGGCGTGACTCTTCAGATGAATATCTAGGCGATTATGGAGTCTTCTTCTGGATCTGACTGACGTTGGACACCAATTACTGGATCTTCAACCTCCGAAGTTTGAAGGGTCTTCACCACTGCCTCTTTGGAGTTCCTCTTCTTCAATCATCCAGGAAACCCTGAAAAATCGCCATGTTTTCTCTTCAGCATCCGCCAAGCCCTCAATTTTCAATGAGAACCCGATCTCCAGGTCTTCAGGATCTTCAGGGTCGGATGTTAGACATCATCATTGATGATAGACTTTGAAATAACTAGGATCTTCAAACTCCGAAGTTGAAGATAATTTTTTTGGTGATGTAACAGATCTTCAGGCCCTTCTTCACTCCCTCTTCAAAGTGTCAACCCTTGTGGAGGCTCTAAGGGTTCAGCCCAGGGGTCCCATCCTCTAGGAAATACCAAAAAAGGCATTAATTTCTTTCCAGGATCCTACGAGGGCTCGATCTTCAATAATAACTCGATCTTCAGGTCACTATCTAGGGTCGTTATCTGCACGGTTATCTTCGGGATCTGATTGACATCATTCCAAGATCCGAAGTTTTAGACAAATTTTTGCTTGATGTTGAAGATCTTCAGGATCTTCTCGACCCTCTCTTCAAGTCCTCATCTCTAAATAATCTCTAAAAATTACATTCTATACGAAAACATTGGCCACTGGGTCCCCTTCCAAATCCATCAAAAACTCGATCTTCAAGTTATCTTGGTAATTACCGGATCTTCAGTTTCATTAACGTTGCTCATTAAAAAGACTATATTTTCCAACCCTTGAAGTTGAAGTAACAATGGCTAGGCAAGGTTATTCTTTATTGTTGCGATGATATTGAAGATCTTCATGGTTTTCACCGCTTTCTTTTCAAGGTCTCAACCCGCTAGAAGCCCCGCGGTTTCAGTCCTCTAGGTAAAAAAGTCTGTTTTCAAGATCTGTTTTCAAGATCCACCAAAATTACGATCTTTAGTAAGAACAGGATCTTCAACAAAAACTAGAGCTTCAGATCGTTATCTCGATCATCAGCAAGATTTTCAACTCCCCAAGTTCGAGATTTTTTGCTGATGTCAGAGATCTTCAGGATCTTCCTCCCCCTTCTTCAAGCCCTCATCTCCAAAAAATCCCTAAGATTGTAGTTCTCCGGAAGAAATCGTGTTCTAACCCTTCATGACCCACAATGAGGATTGGATCTTCGACGAGAACTCGATCTTCAAATCATTATCTCGATAATCATCAGTTCTTTAACATCTGACCGACGTTATTTTTCATAAATACTAAAATTTCCAAAGCCCCAACTTCAAAACCGAATTTTTTGTTGATGTCAGTGATCTTCAGGGTCTTCACCACCCCTTCCGCAAACCCTCACCCCCCAAAAATCTCGAGGGGTTCAATCCTTCGCGGAAATTCCACAGCGCACTGAATCCTCTCCTTCCCCAACAGTCCCAAATCCTTGCTCTTCACCAACCCCACGCTCTTCACATCAATCCCTCCTTGAAATCTCAACAAGTTGTTCAAATGAATCAAATCTTCATCAACATTTATTTCCCCACTTTTCTACATTTCATCATCTCGACATGTCCCTCTCTTTCCTCGTGCCGCGAAAAATCTTCACCAATAATCATCCCCAATATATTAAAATATAAATCACCAATAACCAATAATCACCAACAAATATTTCTCTCGAAATATCTTGAAAATTCTTATATGTGCGCGACCGGGCGAACCGCGCGACTGGTTGATGCAGTCCGTGCCAAAGCATAAGGAAGCGGAAGCTAGAGGAAAAAGGGGGGCCTCGTATACAGTATATACCCTCTGTACAGAGGGTAGAAGGAAAAGAGGCGCGCACGCTTCGTCGCGGCGACGGCGGCCAACGCCACCCTCTCCTTCGTCTTCTTCTTCTTCTTCGTCTTCCTTGCAATTTTTTTTCCCTCCCCCCGATCCCTCCACCCTATGCGCCTTACCGCCCCCCTCCCCCCTTCGCCCCCCGATGTATTTTTTTGCAGTCCAAGTGCTACGGACCAGAGAGAGAGACAATCAGAGAACGAAGAGTAAGAAAAAAAGGAGGAACAATCCCCCAAGTGTGTAAGAAACGACAGTAGCTCCAGGCCGGTATAGGGGGATAGGGGGGTGAGTGGAGGAAAAAGAAACAGAGGGAAAAAAATGGAGGAAAAAAGAAAAGGCGTATGATATAAGGGGAGCAAAAAGACGTATAAAAAGTTGTAGAGAAAAAAATTGGAGAATTTCCCCCTACCTCACCTCCTATTCCNCAACAAAAACTAGAGCTTCAGATCGTTATCTCGATCATCAGCAAGATTTTCAACTCCCCAAGTTCGAGATTTTTTGCT